GACTAGATGTGGGGTAATTTTTAACGTGTTTTTCATGTTGAAATAATCTTGCGTCATTTTTAATAACTATTATATTCTAAGTAGTATGATAATACAAATTTAGTAACTGATTCTTTAAAGAAGTTGTATTGAATCATTAGCACAGATAGCACAACACATTATTAATGACCTTCAAATTTTTTTTCTTTTTTCTAACCTTTGTTATAATTAATTAACTTATAATTAATTTATTTATTATATTACATATTATTACTTATATGAATAATAAAATTGTCATACTTTAAAAAAAGAATAAACATTCAACTTTATTTGGTTAGCTTTTTTTTCAAATATTCTTAAGATAAATTAATAATGAATCATAAACGTAATATGTACAGCAGATTATTGACGTTTAACAAATGAAATGCTGAAGGAAATGAAATGGGTGCCACCTGTGACTATAGATTTCCGGACATAATTCCGCGGAGATGCGCCACCAGGCAAACGCTTCAATGTAAATCAAAAGTGTCCACAAGAAACTAACGCAGAGCACTTATTAGAGCGATAACGATCGATAACATATCCAAATAGAACAACCCGACGCTACACACACATACAGGCGAAGAGTTCGTGGCTGCCAATATTCACAATATGGCGACAACAGAAAACAAGAATGATAAAATATGGTAGTTTCCTTACCTGATTCAATTCTTGACTCGTCTGCTTGAAATTTTTCTTGTTTAAATTTACGACGAGATAATGTATATGCGATAAGCTCAACGTTAAAGAGTCCAGGTTCATAGTTCCATTAATGCAAAAACGAAAGCTTCAAACACGTTTGAAGCTTTCTCGATTTTTTATGATTTTCTACGACGAACTTGTGTTCTTTGGTAGTTTTCTGACGAAATGATAATAAACCTAAGCCCAACATCACCAATTTTATTGTTCACTTTGATAAAAACAACATAATTATTATCACCCCACTCAGCAATTTATAAATTAAATTTCAGTAGTAATCAGCACACGATGACGAAAGAACCAAAGTGGCTGCCTGCTGCTTCGTGCCATGTTCGGAAAATTTTCGTGAATGTCCGCAGCCCAGAGAGTTACCATAGAGCACCGACTAGATAGAGATTGGACGTCTCGCAATAGGTAGAGCAAACACTCTCATCTAGAGTTGCTAGGAATAAAATATTTTTTACCGACTCTATGCAACGCATTTTTAAAATTTCTGTGTAGAGCTATAGATCCAAAATTACCAATTAATAGCTTAGTTAAAACCAGATAACTAGAGAAGTTATAATTCGTATGTATTCCTTAGCATATACGAGTACACAGTTTGACGTTAACCATTGAAACGTTACCTAAAAATGAATTTCGTTGTATCACTTTGAATTGACTAACTCGCTAATACAGAAGCTAATTTCTTTAATAGGTCATGAGTCCGACACGCACATCGGGCAAACATTCATGTGATGATTAAGTTTGTTTGCTTTTTGTTTATGTGTTATAAATACGACGGTGACTTCATCCGCGATAATTACTCAACTTCGACCAGTGCAGTCAGCGATAGGTTATGCCATTGAGACGGTACTGCTAATACTCTAAGACAGTCCGCTGGACCAGAATCAGAATCTACTAGATCGGGACGTAATTCACCGCAAACTATTTGCTCATTAATATTAACATTACGCCATAAGCTTAGTATGACACATAGCATCAATTTCCCCAGTTGCATTGTCATATTATTATTGTCACCGAGAGAGGCCACTTAACAAAATGATCTGACTCTATTTTAAAAACAATGACATGACCCTGCTCCACCTAGATCACTGAAGTATGAAACCTATGGAAATGAAACGTCAACAAAAAATGCGTGCCACTGTGACGTCATCTGGCCGCTAAACAAGGCGGTTTTAGTGCTGCCCTCGTCGCCTGCCCCGCATGGGAGGGGTGGTGGTGGTAGTGTTCTCGTCGCAAAAATAGGAAACGACTTGTCGTTGCCGAGTGTTGTGGCATCGATGCTCGGCGACGATGAGTCGTGGAAGGCGATGCTCGACTTCTGCGAGTGCACCATCTCGCAGAAGGAGGCGGCGGGGCGCGTGAGAGACGCGCAATCCCGCCGCGGAGGCGGATCTCGCCCAAGCCCTGGCCCTCTAAGTGTTTCGGGTCCCCTTCATATGTCGGTCTGGGGACCGGCGAAGGGGGCCTAAGAAGACGACGTGCAAGCTGCTCTGCACGCGTTTTACGCAAGAGCATCCGGGTGGTGGAAGGCCGTTTATCCTCGACCCACGCTGGTTCTGACCCAGCGGGGTATTCCGTAGGATAACCCATTCAAACCGGCGCCATCTAGGCGGGCTCCGGATAGCCTGCCGACCGAGAGGGCTGGTGGTCGTGGCGCCGACGACCGCTGATCCAGCGTCCCGAGGGGGAGGGTGATGGAAGAGATGTGCTCCGCACTAAACGCTTCACTTTCCCCCCTTTGCCTTTTCATGGGTTCTGTCTCATGCGAGGTTCGGACGCGGGTTGTTGAGCGACAGGAGGTTTTAGTCAGTTCGACTCCAACATGCCCCGCCTTCCATCCCCAGGGGAGGGCGGAAGTCTGGCGATTTCCTCCTGACCAAAAAAAATGCTGCCCAGAAGATTTTAATATTATTAGATTTTATCGATAAACGTTAAAGATATTTTCTTTCTCTACCTTTTACTCTAAAGGTCTATGACCTAGATAGAGTAGATTGATACCTTAGTTATGTTGACATATATGTTTTTTGTTGCTTAGATGGGTGGACGAGTTCATAGCCCACCTGTAAAATGAAAAGGTAACAAGTATTTTTTACTGGTGGTAGGACCTCTTGTGAGTCTGCGCGGATATGTACCACCACCCTGCCTATATCTGCCGTGAAGCATTAACGCGTTTCGGTTTGAAGGGCAGATTGTAACTATACTGAGACCTTAGAACTTATATCTCAAGGTGGGTGGCGCATTTACGCTGTAGATGTCTATAGGCTCCAGTAACCACTTAACACCAAGTGTGCTGTGAGCTCGTCCACCCATCTAAGCAATAAATAAAAAATATATGAATGGGAAATTAACGGAACCATACTAACCAACGGAACCACTTGCTATTTGTCGTTTATGTTTGACTATTTGTGAACGGGTAAAGGTGTTATGCTAAAATTAATATTTATACCAAAGCTTCATGAAATTCGTATTATTTCCTATTTCCCTACATGGAGCAGAAACATGGACGATCTATCAAAAATATCGTAAACAGATTGACGCCCTAAAGAGGTAGTGCTGGAGACGTATGCTGAGGATAAAATGCCGCATTAATGTTTCCATTCTGAAAAAGCTCTAAATCAAATACAGTCCTTCGTCGATTCTATAATTGCGAATCCTTAGGAAAAATCATCCGTAATAGAAGCTTGTTGGAATGAGTAATGGTTCCGGGAATAGTAGACTGTGAATGATCTCGCGGTGGATCACCCACAAGATGGATAAACCTTATTAAATCATCTACGAAGTGTTCCCTTATTAAATCACGCACCACCACAAATAGAGAGAGATAGAGAAGCCTCGCAAAAAAGCCGCAACCAACCAATAAAACTATACATAACCATAACCAACCAAAAAAACTGAAGCTTACGGACACCGTTTAATGATCATCAAGACTATGACTAACGTAACGGCCGTCTGGTGTAGTGGTAAGTGACATGGTCACTACACAAGGGGGTCGCGGGTTCGAATCCCGCCAAGGGAAGATATTTGTGTGATAAATATAAGTGTCTTTTCCAGGGTTATGGATGTCTATTAAATATATGTATGTGTATAATAAAAATCTTACATTTATATCCGTTATCTGGTACCTGTAACACAAGTTCTTTACGAACTTNACACAAGGGGGTCGCGGGTTCGAATCCCGCCAAGGGAAGATATTTGTGTGATAAATATAAGTGTCTTTTCCAGGGTTATGGATGTCTATTAAATATATGTATGTGTATAATAAAAATCTTACATTTATATCCGTTATCTGGTACCTGTAACACAAGTTCTTTACGAACTTATCACGGGACCAGTTAACGTGGCGTGATTTTTAGTAAATATTTATTTATTTATTTATTATTTATTTATGACTTCATTCTGATTCGCACGTAACCTCTGAGGTAAGAGTTATAAATTACTAGATAAAGTTATTAGAACCAAGCACGAAAAAAAAACAAAAAAAAGAGGTAAGAGTTATACATTTGAGTGAGGTATACCTGAGGGAACTCATATAGAGTCCCTGCTTTGGAGGGACATGGAGTGGGACGCAATTTAGACATACGCTGTCTTAACTTAACGACAAAATCCGTCGGGTCCTCGAAACCACAAGGACCGGGAGGTACTAACAGTTCCCCTGGAAGCGTTAATGTTTCTCCGTAAAGCAATTCCGCTACTTTTGCTTGTAGGTCTTCTTTAAAAGCAGAACGCATTCCTAATAAAACCAAAGGTAATGCATTCAACCACGAATCATCATAACACATCAGAGAGGCCTTTAGTTGTCTATGCATGCGCTCCACGAGCCCATTGGCACCAGGGTGGTAACTAGTAGTGCGTATACGTTTAGTACCACAAAAAATAGTAAGGCGTCTGAAAAGGTCCGACTCGAACTGTCGTCCCTGGTCGGTTGTGATGACAGCAGGTACTCCGAATCGAGCAATCCAACCGGCTACAAAGGTGCTCGCTACTTCTTCTGCTGTTATTCCGTGCATAGGCCAGACTTCGGGCCATCGAGTGTAGCGATCCACAGCAGTCAGGCAGTATTGGAAGTCAGAACAAGATGGAAGAGGGCCTATGATGTCAATATGGACATGCTTCAGCCGAGACGTAGGACTGGAGAAGTGTTCAAGTGGAGATTTTATATGCCGCGTCGCCTTACTTCGCTGGCAAGCAACGCAGGTTTGGCACCAATTTGGCCACACGAAACGGTCTGAGATCAATCGAATGGTTGATCTAGTATCAGGATGGCTAAGATTATGTAGCTAAGCAAAAATCTTCTTTCGCATAGGTTCCGATACAAATGGGCGTGGTCGCCCTGTTGACATGTCGCAGACCAAAACAGTGTTTGTGCCAGGAACTAAGACGTTCTCTAGTTTTAGAGAAGAATTCGCATCGTTACGATACTTTTTCAATTCGTCATTAAGTTTTTGGCAAGCGGAGAGAGCAGAATGGTCAGTTTCAAAACTAACAGCTTCGATGGGGGACATGGCGTCCGCCACCGTATTGTCCACCCCTTTTATATGGACAATGTCCGTGGTAAACTGTGAAATAAAAGACAGTTGATTTAACTGTACCGGAGGAAGCCTTTCGCGACGTTGCGAGAACGCGTAAACTAATGGCTTATGGTCCGTATAAATTGTTACGTGCTGTGCGGCTAGGAAGTGTCGATAATGTTGCACACTCTCATATACCGCAAGAAGTTCTCGGTAGTATGCTGGCCACTGGCACTGTCGGGGATTCAGCTTTTTACTAAAGAAACCCAGGGGTTGCCAAGCATCACCGACTTTCTGCTGAAGGCAGGCACCTACGTGAGAACTGGAAGCGTCGGTGAAAAGCCCTAGTTCAGCGTTAGGCAAAGGGTGTGCCAACAGAGCTGCAGATGACAAGCTATCTTTATAGGCATTAAAGCATTCTTCGAGCTCAGATGTCCAAGTGATCGGTGTGAGACCTCTACCTCCAGTGGCCACGATCGCGTTGATTAGTGGTGCTTGTAACTTGGCCGCATTGTGCAGAAATCGGCGATAATAATTAACCATCCCAATTCCAATGAAACGACGGAGTCCTTGTATAGTCTGTGGTAGAGGAAAATCTTTTAGAGCTTGAATGCGCTCTGATGGCGGTTGTGTTCCGTCGGCGGATATTCTGTTTCCGAGAAAAGTAACCTCAGGAGCACCAAACACGCATTTTGCTGGATTTATAACGATTCCGTAATCTTCAAAACGCTTGAAAAGAGTACGAAGGTGTACAGCATGTTGAAGAACATCACGGGAATACATTAATATGTCGTCAACGTACGCAAAGCAAAAATCGAGACCTTGGACAACTTCGTCTATAAATCTTTGAAACGCTTGGCCTGCGATGCGCAGACCAAAAGTCATGTAATTAAATTCGCAGAGTCCGAAGGGTGTTATGATGGCGGTTTTACAGATATCCTCAGGCGCAACAGGATTTTGCTGATATGCCTTAACGAAGTCGATTGTACTAAATATACTACACCCAGATATGTTATGGCCAACGTCACCGATATGGCGAACTGGGTACCTGTCGGATATGGTACGTGAACTCAACGCACGATAATCGCCGCAGGGTCGCCAGGTGCCGTCGCGCTTAGGGACCATATGAAGTGGAGAAGACCACGAACTTTTCGAAGGTCTGGCTGTCCCGCACTGTACCATATCATCAAAAACCGTTTTGGCCTCTTGAAGTTTTTGAGGTGCCAGACGTCTAGGACGACAAGAGACTGGGGCGCCCTCAGTGGTTAGAATATAATGAACTGTGTTATGCTTCGGCTCACGAATAAGTCCTGGTGGCTTTGTTATGGACGGAAATTCCGCAAGAAGTGCACTAAATTGGGATGACGGAGCGCAGACAACTTTGACGCTGGTCTGGTCTAAAACAGCGCCGGCAGCAACGCATGACAACCCGGTAATGCTATCGACGAGTCTCTTACTGGCACAATCTGGCAACAACCGATAGTGCGCCAGAAAATCGGAGCCGATGATGGCGGTGTTGACGTCAGCGATAATAAATCGCCATTGAAATGTGCGGCGTAGCCCCAAATTAAGCGCCATTTCTATGTGACCAAAAGTGCGTATCTCACTACCATTGGCAGCCGCTAACGTATAGTTTGA